CTCTCTCTCTCTCTCTCTCTCTCTCTCTCTCTCTCTCTCTCTCTCCCTCTCCCTCTCCCTCTCCCTCTCCCTCTCCTCTCTCTCTCTCTCTCTCTCTCTCTCTCTCTCTCTCTCTCTCTCTCTCTCTCTCTCTCTCTCTCTCTCTCTCTTTCTGTGTGTGTGTGTGTGTCTCTCTCTCTCTCTCTCTCTCTCTCTCTCTCTCTCTCTCTCTCTCTCTCTCTCTCTCTCTCTCTCTCTCTCTCTCTCTCTCTCTCTCTCTCTCTCTCTCTCTCTCTCTCTCCCTCTCTCTTGTTATCCTGCACTGGGCTGCCGTGGCTGATCTGGTGTATGGATGTGAGCAGCGGGCATTGCTCGCCTGATCAAGGCATGCAAGAGGAGTAACATAGAATTCATCTATGCCATCTCTCCCGGACTGGACATGGCTTACTCCAGTGCTAAGGAGCTGGACTTTCTGAAAGCTAAGGTTGATCAGGTATGAGTCTTCTTTTGAATGCTGTGAGGTGAGACAGTTCAGTGTATAGTACCCCGGATACAACATACCCTGGATATGACATTGTCACATACCCCGGATACAACATACCCCAGATAGAACATACCCCGGATACAACATAGCTTTCCACACCACACATAGTTCTTTGCCGATGCAATCTGCAGTCCTTTACACATTGGTATGATCTGTCCTGCTGGGGTCAAGGATCAGGTGCCGGTCACCTAGAACTAAAAAAAAGAAGAAGCTAGGATGCCGAATTCTGCTGCGTGTCCACTTTATCTAGGATGTCTTGTCCATTAATTAAGCCAGCCCAGGCTAAATCTGTGCTGGCGAGTGAAAAAATGAAATGCAGAGGATTGTAGATCTGATATTCAGTAGCCAGTATGATTTCCTTTCTTTGAAGTAAGGTGTCTCTGCATGCATTGACAGCGCTGAGAGGCTGTTTGCTCATCTGCCATTGTGACTGTGTTTGTTGTCTTGTGTTGTAGGTTGTTGGCCTTGGTTGCTCGGCATTTGCACTGCTCTTTGATGACATAGGAGATGACCTCATCCCCGCCGATGAGGCTGCCTTTGGCACGTTTGCAAACTGCCAGGTAAGGTGTTGTCAAACTTTAGTGTGTCATACCGGGGGCGTCACACGCGGTATGACCAGTATGACCATGGTAGTATCACTTTTCGTCCAGGATGGTCCACCCAGAGCGCCTGCGGAGCGCTAAAACGTGCCCTGTTGACCGAGAAATCCAATTTCCCCCCGGGGGACATCCCAGACCCCGGTCGTACCGTTCCCCACTGCCCTGTGACGCCCCTGCATCCTATGCTTGATTTTTTGTCAAGCGCCCCTCCGTTTGCATGTATGTATGTATGTATTGAATATTGTTTGCCTGATGATTGCACATAGTGCATGCAACTCAGAGTAGCAAAACACTACGAGTGATCCATTGTTTGTTGACATGTGTATGTATGCACATGTGTGTGTGTGTGTGTGTGTGTGTGTGTGTGTGTGTGTGTGTGTGTGTGTGTGTGTCCTGTGCTGCAGGCGCACGTCACCAATGAAATGTACCGTCACCTGAAGATGCCGAAAACGTTTCTTTTCTGCCCAACAGGTACGCACTGTTACTCCAGTAAGATTGTATGGGCGACCCAATTAACGAAAACTGAAAAGTGTTGCCGCACTGCACCTGGATATGCATGGCTAGAGTGCTTGACATTGGTTGGATGAGTGTGCAGGTCTATTGCGGAATGAAATCCTTTTATCCAGAATCTGGTTAGGGAAAATACGTTCCACATCATGTACATTCAGTGCTTCATGTTTTGTCAAGGTGTGTCTTTGGAGGGGAGGGGGATGCTCATATTGCCCAGCACCTTATTTGCTTGTGTAGATTTCCTTGGTTTGCTCCGGGTGTTAGCGGCCGTCACAAGTTCCCTCAGAGACGCAGATGAAAAGTTACTTTATTTTATTTCATTGTTTTGTAGTATCCCACTCCGCTTATTTGTATTGTGTGTGTGTGTGTGTTTGTTTGTTTGTGTGTTGTGTGTGTGTGTTTGTTTGTGTTGTGTGCGTGTCTACGTGTGTACATGGTGTTCACGGTGTTCACTTGTGCCCATGAGGTGTGTGTGTATGTGTGTGTGTGTGTGTGTGTGTTTGTGTATGTGTGTATGTATGTGTGTGTGTATGTGTGTGTGTTTCTGGCCTCTTTTCCACGGCTGACTGCACGTAGAGTACTGTGCTTCGCGTGCCGTTCCGTCCGTTTCGCGCTCGTCTTACCTTCGCACTATTGGCGAGACGTTGACCGCCGGCATTGACGTGCTGTGGACAGGTAGGGTGCTGCTCAAGTACAGAACAAGCAGCAGGGAGTGATAGGGACCTGTATTGTTGTTATTAGCTATTACATAGGATGCAAATACTAGTGCTTTGGGTTCACACAAGTCACAGAGCACCACGCATCATCCGATTGTAACTAATAGTCTCATACCCCTAGGCAATCATCAGACATCTGATATGCGTTAGTGCTTTTGGGTTCACACAAGTCACAGAGCACCACGCATCATCCGGTTGTAACTAACAAGTAATAGTTTCATGCCCATGGGCAATCATCGGACATCTGATATGCGTGCTGCTCCGTGACTTGTGCGTACAACAGCTGGATTCGAATGAATATTGAGCACGCTACCGAGCCGCAGGACTCTCGTTTGCTTTTGGTTCACGTATTTAATCTCTTTCGCTGCATGAGAGTAACATGGTTGCAGCTGATGGCTTTTGGTGGGTGTCTGACCGCGTTGTGATGGGTGTGATCAACTCACCGAACACGTGAGGAGCTGCACTTTGACCCTTGCGGTCGTTGGCGTTCCTAGGGATGCAGCAGTCTAAGTGGCTCTGAGACGAGCAGTGAACTTTCTTTGCCGATGTGTGGCAGTACTGTTGGTGGTGGTTTAAAGTACTAGTTTGGTGGAACGTGACCATCGGCATTGCACACTAGATATGGAGATGTTGTCTAAGTAAGTACTGAAGTAAGTAAATAAATAAACATGCGTGACTTGGTTTGAATTTGAGACTTTTTTGCATAGGCTATGGCACACTGACGCACTGAGACACCCGCAGGGTAAGCGAATACATGGACCTTCTGTGCTGATGTGCATGTACATGTGCCTGTGCATGTTTGGTGGTGTGCGTGCTTGTGTGCGTGCTTGTGTACGTACATGTATACGTGTATCATTATGTGTGTCTGCTACCCAGGCCCGAAGGTAGTGTCCAACACTATCAGCGTACAGTCCATTGTCAGTGTTGGCAAGGTGCTGCAGAGACCGCCAGTCATCTGGGACAACTTGCATGCTAACGACTACGACCAGAGACGCCTCTTCTTGGGGCCATATCAGGTGATTCCCACGCCTGGTCACTGCATGCCATGTTTGCTTTGTTTTTTGAGACTCGTGCGGCTACATGTACGTCGTGGAGTGATAAATTTGTAGAAGAGTAGGTTATGACTGTGGTGGCCGAAGCTACAGATCACATTGTCACACCAATGCAGCTCTGTGCATGGTGTGTTTTAGAACTGTTCTGAAATAGTTGAAATTGATGCACGTGCACAAAACACTTTTTTTAGAGAATTATGCATGCACCCGGAGAACAAGCAAGTCCGTGCTGGCACTGTGCGGTGGCAAACCAGGGGTTGGGTTCAAGTTACCGTTGCCGTCACTATGCTGAGCCTGGGGTTCTGGGAACGGCCAGCCTGGAGAAGTGTGATTGCAGCCTCGGCCTGCTCAGAGTGCCCGTTTAAAATGTATAAGACTTAAGAGCACATCCCAGCGGTCCGTGAAAGCAAGAACCTAGTGAGTGGAATGTAGTGAGACAGCACGCAATGGTATTGGAACGGTAATTTCCCTGTGTCTGTGCGTTTGCTGACAGGATCGCCCCATCGACCTCCATCAGCACATCCGCGGCATCCTCACCAATCCCAACTGCGAGTACGAGGCGAACTACGTGGCCATCCGCACCCTGGCCATGTGGGCAAACGCCGCGCTGGCACGCGGCCAGGGATTGGGAGTGGTGAAAACGCCAACACCTGCGCAAGACGACTTGTCAACCAGATCCGAGAAGTCGTCCTCGAGTCTTGCAATTAACGAAGGTACGCTCTTGGAAGAAATTTATATTTCACCTTTGCAACCCAAAAGGAGGGGAAAAGGGCCCAAAGCCCCCCCCCCCCCTCCCCGGTTTAGCTTTGGGTTATTTTCATTGATCCAGAAAAATTTACCGCTATAGCTAGTGGTCCACTGTAGACGGCTTGGGGTGTAAATTTCTACGTGCATCAGAACTGGTGCAAGGTTGCGTGTGTGCTCATGTGTCCGAGTCTCTGGCGGGTGGTTGTTCTGCGACAAGGAAACAGTGAGCTCCGACTGCACGCTCCGCCGACAGTACGTGTATACAGTAACTGTAACCTGTCAAGGTGACCACCTGTCCAATGTGACCACCTGTCAAGGTGACCACTACAACTAGGACCAAGGGATGCTGCTAAGGCCTCGGTCACACTACGGCAAGTTTGAAGCTGGACGCAGCGTCAAGCCGCAGCACTTGACGCAGACGCGGGGTCACACAGTGTTTTTTTTTGCAGCTCATGCCTGACGCATTTGTTTACGTCACAAAATCAACAGGGAAACTCAATGACGACATGGATCTCCGCAAAAAGGGGCCTGTTGTTTATTACACAAAAAATTGTCGGACAACGTTTTCAAATTTTCATCGATTTTTCATTATTACAAGAAGACAGAAGGTCCACGCGTGCACGATCATTGTTGTTTCCTTCCGAATTTGAAGTCCTTTTCAGTTGTAGTGTAATGTTGTAGTGTCATGGGTCACTCAAGAAAAGTCCGCATCGCAGCTGTATTTCTCCTGACTTCGCCATACTGGTTGTCCTTTTTTTGGCTCTTGGTGACAACAACAGTCCAGTTGAGCGATGACCCACTCATACTGGTCCTTTTCGACATCGCTTTCTTCTCAGAAAACGCCTCGCTCTTTCGCCAGGCTCGGAGCAGAGCAGCCTCGGCCTCGTAGGTCCACGGACGAATCTCGAAAAAAGAGGGAATAAAACAAACCTTGAAGAGACGAATGACTGCTCAACTCAAGTACCTGTCTTGAAAGACACTGTTTTTCCGCCAAGCGTCACTCCCGTCAGCAGCAACGCAGCCAATTTCCCCGCGTCGGACGCAGCAGCGTCTGATGCTCAAATTTCCCGCGTTTTCATCAGTTGCCATGGAAAGCTCATGATTCTGACGCAGCATTTTTGCCGTAGTGGGACCGAGGCTGCTATAAATACAATACGATGTTACAGTATCAACCAGGAGGCCTGCAGCATCACACCCTCCTTTCCACCTTTTTTAATTTATGGCAAGGCGAACATTGCAAAAAGAATACTGTACATCCGTCGCGGAAGCAGTAGCAAGGTGGAAAGAAATACAACTACGACTTGTTACGATCAAACAAATCTCTCTGTTCCGCTTGAATTTTCCTGCTTTTGGGGTAACTCATGCACTCCATGATTATCATGCCCGGGGCATGTGTGTGTGTGTGTGTGTGTGTCTGCGTGTGTGTGTGTGTGTGTGCATGTGTGTGTGTGTGTGTGTGTGTGTGTGTGTACATGTGTGTGTGTGTGTGTGTGTACGTGCGTGTGTGTGTGTGCGTGTGTGTGCGTGTATGTGTGCGACTCGTATGTGTCTGCATGTGTGTGCATGTATGTTTAGATGAGCGCTCACAGCTATCGGATGATGCCGATGACAGTCCCATGCAGACCGAACACCGGCATAGTCCCCTGCCAGCCACCGAGGGGCCAGAGGCCATGGATAGTGGAGCACCTAGAGACACAGACACCAAGGCAGTCCTGGGGGACGAACAGGCCAGCCGCGGCGAACCCGACGATCAACAGGCTGAGTTTGAAGCGATTGCGTACGACCCCAAGGTAGCTCTGCACGAGGCTCTGGCGGAATGGCTGGTAGACTTCCATCGGCCTTGCTCGTTCAATCTCTCACCAGTACTGGCACGCCTGCAGGAATCCGGCGAAGGCACTCCTCAAGCGGGGACAATGTTGCAACCGATAGCCAGCGATAGGGGCAGCGATACGGCATCCCATGGCGAGAGCTCGGCAGCCGGCACCACCACCACGGGTGAAGTGCGTTCGTCCGGAGATGCTGTTGACTTCTCCGCCGCCGCAGCAGCTGTGTCGGCTGGTACGGAAGGTGGTGAAGGCATCTGCCACGCGTCGCCGCGCAAGATGGCGAATCCGTTCTCGTTGTCTCATCTGGAGCTTCTCGCCGATCTGTTCTATCTTCCGAAGGAGTATGGCGCGCAGGGACTGGACCTGATGGAACAGTTCCAATGGCTGCGAGGCTTCTACCCCTGGTACTCCGACGTGGCTGACTGCTCTACAGCGTTGGACAGTGCCAACGGGGCCAGTATGGCTGGTGTGCATACTGACCAACAGGACACTGGCGGCGTTTGCAGTACGAGTGGGGAGCGTGCATCCGTTGATGCCGGTGCAAATGTCTCTATGAAGTGTGATACCAGCAGTTCTACCAGCGATGAGTTTGCGTTTGATTCTGATTTATCACCAGAGGGAGAGGCAAGTACTAGTACATGTAGTTTGGTTTCAGAATTGTGGCCTTACTGTTCAGATTGAAAGTAGTGAGGGGAAAACTATTTCCCTAGTGTTTGAGAGACGTCAACGGGTTCTGTAACAGTCTTTGCATGTTTGTTTGTGTGTGTGTGTGTGTGTGTGTGTGTGTGTGTGTGTGTGTGTGTGTGTGTGTGTGTATGTGTGGTGTGTGTGTGTGGTGTGTGTGTGCGTGTGCATGTGCATGCCCATTGTGTATGTCTGCGTCTGTCTGTCCTGTGCAGGCTGCGTTGGCCGATCGTCACTACAAGGAGTGGTGCTGGCACGCGCGAGAATTCCACGCTAAGTGTGCTGCTGTGCAAGCTATGTTTAACTCGTTGACGGAGATTCCGAACCGCCCACTGCTGTATGACCTGTATACGTATGTCTGGGATGTGAAAGAGGTGGTCATGATGCTGGATGAATATTTGACTTGGTTAGGTAAGGAACTCATTGAACTCTCTATCTCTCTCTCTCTCTCCCCCCCCCCCCCCCCCTCTCTCTCTCTCTCTCTCTCTCTCTCTTTCTCTCTGGATGATAAGTATACAGAGAGTGTCTATGTTGGCATGTCGTTCTTCTACAGAGAGGAGTGACAATGCACGCCGAGCTGGCGCTAACTTCTATCAACCTGACGCAGAACCCTGGGTCTTCCGTGGAGGCATGGCAGCAGAGCTAGCGGTGAGTGCAGCCTTGCGCGTGTGTGTGCGCTTATACGTGTGTGTGTGTACGTACGTGTGAGGGTGTGCATGTGCAAGCGAGGACGCAAGTTGTGATTTTCTCTCTGCTGGACTCTCAGTGAGCGTATTACCTTCTCAGGGGCGTAGCACCCGCTACGGCTGGTATGACCATGGCCGTACCACTTTTCGAAAAGTGTGGTCCGTCCAGAACGTGCAAAACCATAATAAAAAAATCAGGATCCATCGATGTATGCGCATATGCGCATCAGACTTTGACCTTTTGACTCGTACTTGTAGATCTGCCATGCATCTGTGCACGTCTCTTCTGACCGTGAAATTATGACTTTATAAACTGTGCCAGAAGTTCCCAGAACGAAGGATTTTGTGTCTTTTTTACAAAATTTTCCCGGGGGAGGTCCCCCGCACCCCCCTCCAAAACGGCCTTCGGTCGTACCACTTCCAAAACCCCTCCTACGCCCCTGCCTTCTGCTGTCATGGTGTACACACCTGGGCTAGATGTGGGTACATGTACTCTAGCTTAAGTATTGAATCTTCTAATACAATCATGTAGATGTTTATTGATGTATCCTACTGCAGCGTTTTCTCCCGGAGCCCGCTCCTTTAGTGCGTCCCGACCGTCCCAAGAGAAGCAAATCGCCGGATTGCTCGGTGTTCACTATCCGCCCGTACTTGCCATCAGACGAGGTACGTGATGTGGACGTTACCAGTCGGGGAGATGTCCTATCTAGGACATCTCCAGGACTGGTGGACAGTGGAGGGTCATTGGAAATCATGATTTACCCGAAATAAATCATAGCACTGTCGGGCGCCGAAGAACGGTCAGCCTGGAATTGCATCACGCACAGCATATCAATGTACACACGCTGTGCATAGACTGTAATGCATGAAAAGAAGAATGGTCTAGGCTAGGTGGCTGAACCCACGGTTCTTCGGCAACCGACAGTGCTGTAAGCCCGTAAATGCTCTTCATGAGCAGCCTGAGCAGCGCTAGCATTCGATGCACGCAATTCACACGTTTAGCAGCCGTGTGCTTTTCAACAACATACCTAGCCATAGGAAAATCAGCAAATCAGCGTGTGATAGCCTTGGGCCGCGATCGAAGGGCTTTTCATCCGCCTGAATCTGTGCCTGTATCCCTAGTTGCTTGTGTGATCTTGAGCAGCTTTTTAGTGGGTCACCTGGAACAAGCTGCACCCGTACCTTGGAAGTGTAATATGACCGCGACACACCGTACGTTGCAAGTGCAGTATGACCGCTACACACCAGATCCATTGGAGGTACTCCAGGGCCTCTCTGGATACCGATAGTCTTGTGTACAGTTGATGGGTTCTTGTACGTAATTATGGCCTTTTCAATCACAAGTTGATACTGTGTGTTTATTTACGTGTGTTTGTGTGCGTGTTTGTGTGCGTGTGTGTGTGTGTGTGTGTGCGTGTGTGTGTGTGTGTGTGTGTTGTGCGTGTGTGTGTATGTGTGTGCATGCATTTGTGTGTATGTGCTTCTTGATTCGGACAGCGTGCCCTGTACGATGTGTGTTTGCGTACTGGCGACAGCGGTAAAGACGGGACTCACCTGTACCCGAACTTCCCTGATCTGCTCGGCCATCGGTCAGTTACAATGATGAGCTGCTTCTTCTGCTGCCATTGTATTGCTACTGCTGGTGTTGTTGCTGCTGTTGCTGCTGCTGCCCTTACTGCCGCTCGTACTGCAGTTCTTACTGCTGCTCTTACCGGTACTGCTGCTACTGTTACTGCTGCTGTTGCTGCTGCTGTTACTGTTCATCATCTTCTCCTCTTACTTGTCTACGGTTTCGTACTCACTCCATAGTTGAAAAGCAAGAAGTGTTGCGTTTGCTTTCAAAATTTGTTTTCCTTGTCACTGTGCTATGCCACTGTGCAGCTATGTGGGCCCGTACACTAACTTAAGTGTGGAGTTTGCCTATATCGTGGAAGACTCAGACGGTGTATGTGGCTACGTTCTCGGTGCGCTGGACTCTAACTTCTTCTACAAGCGCTATCGAGCGGAATGGGTCCCTGCTGTAAGCTATCTACTCTCCTTTTCTCCCTGTCTATCTGTCTATCTATCTCTCACATGCACGCACGCACGCGCGCGCGCACACACACACACACACACACACACACACTTGTACTTGTTGCTCACTGCCAAAACTGGTCACGTGGGTCTCCCCGGGAGAGGGGAGAGAGACTCAAAAGGAATCTTGGAAAGATGACTCAATTGGCTGTTGAACCGCCCAACGGCCGACACCCCCTGAAATCCCCAAAACTCTGAGTGGACTTGAAAACTAGTGTTGAAACGAATAATCGAATAATCGAATAATTTAGAATATTCGTGGGGTGAACGAATAATCGAATAGTCGTAGGAATTAGCAGAAATCGGAAAGAAAAAAAAAAAAAGAAAAAAAAAACGATCTATGCTCAGTGCTGACACCCTACTGATATTTGCACTGCGTAGATCTGCTCGTAGTATTTCTTCTCAATCTCTTCTCCTCCAAGTTTTAATCTCATATCGGTATCTAGTAATACAATAGTCATGTACTTCTGTTCTTTCCATACGAGGGAAACATGGATGCAGTGAATGTGATTTTCGGTCTTTGACCACTTTCGACCAAGACCCTATGCAGAGCTGGATCAGGCGTTGCACACTCTGGGGGGTTATGTACTCTTGGCACCTCCACATAACAAAATCCGATAATCAGAAAAAATTATTTTAAAAAAACTACTTAAAAAGTGCTGAAAAAGTGTTGAAAAATGCCATCATGCGTTCGATGGAGGGCGAAATTATTCGATAGATTATTCGTTCGAAGAATCCGTGTTCGGTTTAAACACTATTAAATGAAAATGATCCCACTTATAGGCTCACCACACCTCAGTAAGTGGCTGAGGACAAGGTGCAGAAAAAGGATTGACGGCATCAGGGAATCCGTCCCGGGATCCCACTGCAGTTACCCCTGCCCCCAGTGAAGGTAGTACTTGCTACTAGCTAGTGTGGGTGGCTAAATCAGAGTAGATCTGATATAAGGCTGCAACCACACTAGGTACAAAATCACGTACAAACGGCATTACAGTAGAAACCGTCATGCCGACGCGTGCGAAATGCAAAATGAGCTTTGTAGGTTTTCAGCAACTGGCGCACCCCTGTAGAAAGCCACGTTTGTCGTTTTCGTCGTTTTTGCGCTCTTTCTCCTGTGTACAACTTTGTTTTTTGTACCTGGTTGTCGTACATAGCATCAACATCAGCATTATTTTTGAATTTCCCGGTCTTTTCCAGCGCATGGCACACGCTTTGGTACGACAACGTCACGTGCTGGTCGCGTGAAAACGTCATCTATGCAGACCGAAAAGTGTAGTGTGGTTGCGTACCGACTTGCACTGTGATATGCATGAAACTTTGTACTGTAATTTTTACGTAGTGTGGTTGCGGCCTAAGCTTCACTAGTACCATTGATTGCACAAGAAATTAATCTAGCCAGAAGCAGTCCAGGCCGTATGTATACTTCAAATAGAAAGTATATGGACCCTGGAACCAACAAAGGTGGCAGGTACAACATTCATTACACCTTCAAGCAGCCGAGCCCGTTGGCAACAGACCCAACACAATCAGGCATAAGCGTACCCACCAACCAAACTAGCTGGCGCACACACACACACACACACACTTACCATGACCCCTCCCCTGGCCTGGTCACGTTGGCATTGACATATTGTTTCAAGGATTCTCCAAAGGCAAGTGGATGCCTGTCAAAGAAAAGTATCCTAAAGAATGCGAGATGTGTCAATCGATGTGAAGCCAGTCTGACCTTCCTTACGGGTGATAACTGTCACTTGCTATTTCTCGGCGTATGGTTCCTGCTGGCATTCTTCTCACAGTATCCTAGGGCCTGCTACCGCAGCTGCTCTTAGCTCTCTTGATCCTTGTTCTGGTGCAAGGGGGGGGGGGGGCTGGGCAGGTGGTGAAGTGGGGCGTGATGACTGCTCGTTACCTAGCTCCCGTGTGTTTGAAGGTGAGGGTGGTAGTTTGGAACACGTTACATCAGCTGTCAGAGTGTGTCATTCTGTGCCTGTCGAGGTGGTGATGAAAGACTCTTACAGAGAGTGTGTGCAACTTGTGTAGTTTTGTCTTCATGAAGTTACGTTCCGTGCATAAAGCAGTGCTACAGTGCTGCAGTGCTGCAGTGCTGCAGTGCTGCAGTGCTGCAGTGCTGCAGTGCTACAGTGCTGCAGTGCTACAGTGCTGCAGTGCTACAGTGCTACAGTGCTACAGTGCTGCAGTGCTACAGTGCTGCAGTGCTGCAGTGCTGCAGTGCTACAGTGCTGCAGTGCTGCAGTGCTGCAGTGCTACAGTGCTACAGTGCTACAGTGCTACAGTGCTAGTGTTGCACATGTGCTGGCATTGTACAGTGATGCCTTATGGAATCCGATCGGTGTTTGCAGGTGTAGGGCTGCACAGCGCCCAGCGTGGCATTCACTTGCTTGATCGGATTTCAATGTGCTGGCATTGTAGGAGTGAGACTGTCAACACATGCTCATGGTGTTGAACTTCTCACCTGTGTGGTGTGTGGTGATGTGGTGTGGGGTGATGATGATATGCACAGTGGCACGTGTTGAGTACTAGCACATAGCTTTGGATAGGACTAGACAAGTTCTGCGCATGCCAAGCCATACCTCGCTTGTCCTTTTCCTGGAAAGGTTGTCTCTCTCTCTCCCTCTCCCTTGTGTCTGCTTTCGTAGCCCGTGATTTTCTTTCTCTCAATAGTTGCTGCTGCTGCTTCAGCAGTGAAGTCCTGTAGATGTGTAATGGTGGAATGTGCACTTTCACATTGTTACTGCTTCGAAGTATTTTCCATACTAAAATTGTAGAGGCTGGGTAGTCAATGGCTTTGTAGCGTCTTTTTTCTCCTGCCTTTAATCTTTTTGGCATCTCTCATCGTCTCATCGTACCCCCTTGCCATAGCCTTTTACGATTCACGCCATTCGTTTGCCAGCCAGCTCATTCTGCAGTAATTCAACGTGCCAAATAATGAGGTGCCGAAGAGTCGTTAGCCAAAGACTCTCCCGGATAGGAACATTGGAGTTGTAGTTGTGTTCGAATTTGTAGCACTTAGCACATACCAACATGGATCGGTTTACTGTACGTTTTCTTCTAGTGAGAGCACTG